CCTTGGCATCCAGCAGTGAGCTCAGTTCCAGCTGTGTGGACCGGACTCCCCTAATTCTGGCAGTCCAGTTCTGATGGACAAGTCGGTTTCTCTTTTTCCCCTTGGGACCTCTGGACTTATCACATGTCCCCTCTTGCTCTTCCATCTCGCTGGACCACTTTTACCCAGGCCTCATGCCGCCCTCCTCTGCAACTTTCCCCACCTCTCCAATTCTTTTGATCATTTCAACCAGCTTTCTCTGGGAGCCTTCTCCAATTTCATAATGTCAGCCTTCACAAATAAATGAAAGCAGTTCTTAAAAATCCCTTTTCCTTAACTCAGCTGAGTTCGCTGTGGCCAAAAAAGACAGGCAACATCTAGTTTTCTACAAAAGGCCCTGCCTTCCATCCAATTTCACAGGAGGCTTGCTCAACTGAAGCAGGGTTTGTGTGTGTGTGTGTGGGGGTTTTTTTGAGGGGGTGGGACAGTTGTAATAAATTGCCTGTAGTCCAAGGGGTGAATACAATAGAGCTATTACCCAGCAGAGAGCCCTGGCTCTCTAAAACCCTAGAATGGGCCCCACAGCCTGCCAGTAGATGCACAAATACTATCTTATAGTAAGGGAAGTAGACAATGCTACAATAGATGAAATTCACTTCTAATTTAATTCAATTGTGGAATTAAAGACTATTCAGAACTCAAAAGGCTCAGCTGGAATCACGGCCCTAAACATATGCCTTTTTCCCCCTTCCTTTTGGTCTCTATTTTTCTCCCTCTTCTACCCATCTATCCATCTATTTACTAAATAAGTACAAAATAGCACTTCGACTTTTGCCATGGGAACTAGTCATTAGTTTGGCCCCAGCTTAGCAGATGGTCTTTGTTTAAATAAAAAATCGCATGACATGCTGAAATGTGTCTCTCCAGTATCCAGCAGGGAATTCGGTTCCACAGACCTGCGCACAGGCCACTTTCCTGCTGGGAGCTTGTGCAAAAAGCCCCATTTCTCCTCCCACTAGGCCTGAAATGAGAGTAGACAGAGGCAGCCTGGGGATGGTGGGGAGGAAGATAGAGGCCACTGCCCTCTTTTAGTGACACCCCCATCTCCGCAGTCCCCTTCAAGACCTGTCTGCATGTTCTGTCTTGAGCTGTCAACACTGTATGGTGGTGTATACCCAGTTCCTTTGCGTATGGTGAACACGAAGTGTCCTCTCGCTGATGACTTCAGAAACTAGCCACAAAGAATGTGGTCTCCAGGAAGGGGAAACTAGGGCACTGCTCCCAACAAAAGAGACGGGGTTGGCTGTGCGACCTGTCTGCATGTTCTGTCTTGAGCTGTCAACACCTCATGGTGGTATACCCAGTTCCTTTGCGTATGGTAAACACGAAGTGTCCCCTTGCCGATGACTTCAGAAACTAGCCACAAAGAATGTGGACTCCAGGAAGGGGAAACTAGGGCACTGCTTCCAACAAAAGAGACGGGGTTGGCTGTGACCAGACAATAACAACCTCTGCCTCTCCATGGTTCGTTGTGCTCAGTGGTGTACGAAGCATCTTCCTTCTCTCTCCTCTAATCTGTACCAACTCCTGGCAGGGAGGTGAACCAGGGAGTGCTCACCCTGTTTTCTACAAAAGGAAAACAGAGCTCAGAAAGATAAGTGACTTGGATTCAGGATTCAAATCTAGATAGTATCTATTTAAAATAACATTTATATGTGTGTGTTTCTTCATTATAAAAGTGGAAACTGCTCAGTGTAAAAGTCTGGAAAACACAGAAAGGTAAAGGACAATTGATAACGACAGCAGGATCTTGCCCAATGCTGACACCTGGGGCTAACATTAAACATAGAGGGTATGTCTTCCTCTTCACTCTTCTCCGAACATGCATCTGTTTCTACAGCACTGCATACAGCACACCGACTTAATGGCATCCAAATCCTTGTGGGCTCCCAGGTGCTGCATGGCCTCCTGAGATGCTTGGAAGAGCCCTGCTGTGGGCAGGATCAGGAAGAGCGATGCCCTTGCGGAGCAGGTTGCTGGGCTGAACTGGAGTTGGAAGGGCCTAGTTCAACCTTTTTGTTTTCCAAGTAAGGGGGTGAGGTTTAGAGAGGCTAAGTGGAAATCCCAGCCCACATGGCTAGCTGTTGTTGGACTGGCAGGTAGAGCTGGCTCTTCGGTTTAGTCACAACAGAAAGAGAAAATCCCTTGGAGACTCTGGATGTAAAAAACAAATTTAAATCATACATAGTTCTAAGGAGGCAGCACCCACCGCATGTTCCAAGTGCTGCCTATCAGCTTGGTGGAACCATGGGGGGGCTGGACCATGCAGCCTCAAGAAGTGGGATCACTGGGGGTTCTGATGAACTTCCACAAAAAAACTCCTACTAGTAAGAATGCAGATGCTTTAAATATGCTTGCTGATGTCCATGCAATGTTTGTTCTAATTTGTCAGAAGTAGTTTGGTATGGACTTAGAGCCGAAAAGACTACTTATTGGTTGTATAATCTTGGGCGAGTTACCAAACCTCTATAAGCCTCAGTTTTCTCCTTTACAAAATAAACTTGCAGGTTTGAGCTGAGAAGTGAATACAAAAGAAACCTATGGTGCTCTATAAACATAAAGGTGCATCAAGTACCA